CCAAAAAGGCAAAGAAATACCCCAACAATTGTCCCCTGACTATTTTTGGGTTTTTGTTTATTATTTTGGAGTATTTTTTGTTTTTCGTCGAAAATCCCCCTGTAGGGGGACAGGCCCGACTTAACTCTACTGGGCAGGGCGGACGCATACGAACGTCGCCACTGCGGCCTTAGGTGGCGCTCCCAAGTGGCCGCCAAGAGGACCTCCAGGAAGGCCCGAAGAGCCCAAGGGGCGACCCTGAAAATGGTGGGGCCCCATCTGACATTTGGCGCGGGGTCGCGCTGCAGGCGTCCCACGAAAACGGGACCGTCACAATCACGCACGCGCTCGTCAGAACACGTCGGCAAGCCGAGTTCCTGCTTCCTCTCAAGGGGCCCAAGGACACACACATAAATACGCACAAAGAAACTGATTCCCCATGTCTTCCCATACTTTCAGGGTTTCTGTCTTCCCGCCCAAGACCCACAGTTCCCCATGTTTTCGTAAGGATCGACGATTGATTGCGTCTGTGTGTGTGTTTACTCACCTCCTCACCTCCTGACACTCGAGCCCTACGTCTCCCCGATCCTTGTCGGGAGCGGCCAAGAGGGGGGTGCCCAAGAGGGGGGGGTGCAAATCATGACTGGCGGCATGTGCGCGGCCCAGCGGGGGGGCCAGGGACGTAATGAAATAAGACGAGGCGCCATGAAATCTGGGGAAATATCATGGCCCACGCCATGATATCCACCCCCCCTAGCCATCACCCCCCTCTTTTCCGCCCCCGACTTGTTCTTGGCGCTCCGGCTGGCCGGGGTGGCTCGACCGAGCTCTCTGGCCGAGCTCCGGCCGCAGCGGCCTCGCGCCACGGGGGGGCTCCCAAAGAAGCAGCAGCAGGGGGGGCGGCGGTGCCGCCGCCCCCCTCGAGGCCTGCCACGGGGAGGCACGGCGTGCCAAAGGTCGGGTCGTGGGTTGCAAGCTTCTCTTGCACGGCCGTGGTCTCTGGAGCTCGGACCTCTCTCTTCTCCTTCGTCGTCGTGGTCCGCGCCTTCGGCCTCTCAACCCCCCCCGGGCACAGGAGGAACCTCCTGGAGGAAGGAGGCGAAGGCCTCCTGTCCCTCGCAGCTCCTTGGTGCAAGAGCCAGGGCACGCGTGCCACTTGTTTTGAGTCAATTCCAAGGGGCCTTCGGCCCAACCCGCAGGGCACCAGGAAGAACGCTCAAGACAGCTAAATGGGGCCTCCAAGACGATCCAGGCGGGCTCCAAGAGGACCTCCAGGAAGGCCCGAAGACGCCAAAATCATGAATGTGCCTCAGGTGTTTGAAGGATTCTGGTGTTGCTCAGTTTCAGCTTCCAGACAGCCCAAGATGGCCCCAAATGCCGCCAAGATGGCCCCAAGAGCGCTCAAGAGGCCTCCGAGGTGGCCCCCTGACGGCCCAAGAGGCCCCCAAGAGGGTCCCCAGAGGGCCCCAAGAAGGCCCAGGAGACCTCCGAGACGCCCAAGATGGCCTCCAAGGCGGCCCTGAAGCGCCCCAAGGGGGCCTCAAGTCGGCCCAGAGGGTGCCCCAAGACAGCTTCCGATGGCATCAGACGGGCCAGGAACGCCCTCAGACGGCCAAAGATCTTCCCAAAGGAGGCCCCGAGTGCCCCAAAAAGCTCCCCAGAGTCCTCCTCATCCTCCTCTTCCTCCTCCTCCTCCTCCTCCTCCTCCTCCTCCTCCTCCTCCTCCTTTTTCATCCCTCGTCCTCCCCCTCTTCCTCCCCCAGGTGTGCCCCGAAGGGTTTCCACAACGGCCGGGGGGACACGCGGTCCGATATAGCGTGGCCGAAAAGACAGGGGGGCGGCGGTGATTCGCCGTGGGCGTCTCCGAGAGGCACCACGACAGACGAGGCCCTTCAGCAGACGCGCCCGAGGAAGCCAGCTGAGCAGGGCGGGGCTGCGCAGTGACCGCCCAGAGCTGTTCCACCAACGCCAAATGACGTGGACCTAAATGCACGTCGTTCATTTCGAACCGTGCTCATTTCCAACTGTGCTCGCTTCTAAGTATTCCTGGCCCCCCAGTGGCCGGGAAGAGGCCCAGGATAGAAGAATTCGAAATGAGAGGCTGTTGGCCCCGAACAAAAATCAAACAACTTCCGAAGAATTAGAAGTGAGCACTTTGTATTGCTGCAAAGCAGATGAATCAAAACAACTTGGGGCCAATAATATCGGGAGCGGCCAAGAGGGGGGTGTCCAAAAGGGGGGGGGGGGGGGGCAAATCATGACGGGGGCATGTGCGCGGCCCAGCGGGGGGGCCAGGGACGTAATGAAATAAGAAGAGGCGCCATAACATCTGGAGAAATATCATGGCCCCCGCCATGATATCTACCCCCCCCTAATCATCACCCCCCTCTTTTCCGCCCCCCAAAGGAAGAACGATAGATCTGTCGCCGCCGGGAGCCCTCTTCCCCCCCCCAGATGACGAGCGAACAGCACACACCCATACCCGTAGGGGGAACGTTGAGAGGAGGACTGGCTATGGCTATGGGCGCGGGTGGTCGGATCCTGGGGGGCGCTTCCGTTCGAGCGGGGGCCCCCATCCGACGACACGCACCCACAGCCCGCTCCGTCCCGCCCATGGATATGGATGCGTGTTGTTCGCTCGTCATGAGAGGGCGGAGGGTGTCCTCCCTCAATGACTCGAGGGAGAGCATTGTGGGAGTCGAGGTGGTTTTCTCCCTCCCCCTCTGCGGAGGTCGTGGGGTTGCCCTAAAAAGGCTCACCACCAGGGAGCGAAGCCTCCTGGAGGCCCGTCGACCCTCTGCTGCGGGGGCGTCCAGGGAAGAGGGCGTTCCTCCTCCTCCTCCTCCTCATCCCCTCCTCCTCCTCCTCCTCCTCCTCCTCCTCCTCCTCCTCCTCCTCCTCCTCCTCCTCCAGGAAGGGGGGCGTCGCAGGCCGTGGCTCGAGGCACGTGCGCGGACGGCGGGGGAGGCCAGGAGGTCGTGCCGAAAGAGAGGGGCGGGCAAGAAGTTCGGGCAAACATCATGGCCCAGGCCAACGATATCCACCCCCGTCCCTCGAGGGGCCCATCTTCCGCGACCGCTACCATGTGTAAAAGAGGAGGAGGAGGAGGAGGAGGAGGAGGGGGAGGAGGAGGAGGAGGAGGAGGGGGAAGAGGAGGGGGAGGAGGAGGGCCTCCTTCTCCTCCCTCGTCCCCCGTCTTACATCTGGTGGCGGTGGTGGAACATCGCCCATCATCCTTGCCATCCCTGGCCGCCCATGATCACTCTTGGGGAGCTGCGGGCCACTTTGCCGCCCGCCTGGCCTCCGCTTTGCCGCCCACCCGGCCTCGGAAGGCCAGAAGGTGTGTGACAACCCCCGCTGGTTAAAGAGAAGGCCTGCCCCCTCTCGAGATCCCCCCTCGGTGCGCCGGGGACAGGTGCATCGGGCGCTGTCCCGATCGACCGTGCGGCGGAGGAGTTGCCGCTCTGAGCGCGGGCACTGACGCCACTCCTTGTCGTCCCTGGCCACGTGGTGAAGCAGCTTCAGGGACACGATGGTCGACGTGAGGTTGTCGATGACCTGTCGGATGTATCATCTCACGCACCATTGAGAAGTACAATCCCTTCCGTCACCGCCGCTGCATTTGGTCGGCGTGGGTTTTGCGGCAGGATCGGATGCAAAACCATGCATGCGCGCACAGATACTCAGCGGAATCTGAATAGAACGATGCATGTGCCTCGCCTCTTACAGAAAAGAGGCACAGAGAACGCCCGCACCTACTCTGAGCCTTCGGCCAAGTTCGTGCCTCTGAGCCCAGGTGGCCATCCCCAACACAGTGTTTGCACGCGGGGCCCTAACAGCAAAAAAGTATTCCCCAAATAGAGCTTGCACTTAGGGATTCTTAGTTGTGCCGCTAAGAATTGGACGGGTCCACCAAGATGTTGCCACGTTGCCGCCCGTTGCCGCTCCATTGCCGTCGGGGGGTCCGCCGAGGTTTCGCCTAATGGCCGCCCGTTGCCGCGTCATTGCCGTTGGGGAGTCCGCCGAAGTTTCGCCACCTTGCCGCATGATGCCGCCTCGTTATCGTTGGGGGGTCCACCGAAGCTTCGCCACGCTGCCGCCCTATGCCGCCCCGTTGCAGTTCAGGGGCCCGCCGTGGTGTCGCCACGTTACCGCCCGCTGCGGCCTCGTTGCCGATGGAGGGTCCGCCGAAGTTTCGCCACGCTGTCGCCTCGTTGCCGCCTCGCTGCCATTCAGGGGTCCGCCGAGATTTCGCCTCGTCGCCGCCTCGTTGCCGTTTGCGGGTCTGCCGAAGGTTCGCCGCGCTGCCGCCCGGTGCGGCCCCGTTGCCCGTGGAGGGTGCGCCAAGGCTTCGCCCCGCTGCCGCGCCGTTGCCGCCTGGGGTCCGCCGAGGTCTCGCCACGTCGCCGCCCGGTGCCGCCTCGTGGCCGCCTGGGGGTCCGCCGAGGCTTCTCCGCGCTGTCGCCCGTTGCCGCCCTCGCTGCCGACGGGGAATCCGCCGAGGGCTTGCCACGCTGCCGCACGTGGCCGCCTCGTTGCCGCCGGGCGCCCGCCGAGGCGTCGCCGAGGTCAAACGCTGCCCTCCTCCTCCTCCTCCTCCTCCTCCTCCTCCTCCTCCTCCTCCTCCTCCTCCTCCTCCTCCTCCTCCTCCTCCTCCTCCTCCTCCTCCTCCTCCTCCTCCTCCTCCTCCTCCTCCTCCTCCTCCTCCTCCTCCTCCTCCTCCTCCTCCTCCTCCTCCTCCTCCTCCTCCTTCCTCCTCCTCCCATTCCTCCTCCTCCTCCTCCTCCTCCTCCTCCTCCTCCTCCTCCTCCTCCTCCTCCTCCTTCCGTAGCCATTTTGGCTCAAGCCATTTTGGCTCAAGGTCCGTAGCAGGAGGCTCAAGGACCTAGAGTTTCTTTGGCACTGGGGAGTGACGGCCCCAACCGTTTTCACACTTCTTACAGCCTGTACTGAGGTTTCATCCCTCATCTGCGACACACAATAGCCACGGAGCGTGGTTGCTCTCGCCGCGCGTGCTGCAGCCTGGCGTCGTGGGGATGCCTCCGCCGCACTACCGCTCGGAGCAGGCGCTTCCCTGGTACTGCAAGAGCTGCTGCGGGCCCTCGGGGAGATCGTGGTGGAATCATGCAGAGGCTCGGCAGTGTGCGAAGTGCAAGCTCGGCAAGGGACTGGTCTTCCACGGAGTACGCAAGCCGTCCGCCCCCTCCCAGCGGAGGAAGGGTTACCTGGGCGGCGGTGGCAACGGCTACTGGGATGACTCCGTCAGGGTGGCCCAGCTCAAGTCCGAGCTCGCGGCGGCTCGCAAGCGGCTGGCAGCTGTGCAGAGGCCGCCGCCTGGCGGGGAGGACGTGCAGATGGAGCCCGCTGCGGACGGGGACGCCCCCGAGTCCGTTGCCAAGGACAGGCTGCGCGAGGTCGGCGACCTCATCGGCAAGCTCAAGGGCATCGCGGAGCCGTCGGTCGTTGCCACGCGCGACAAGCTGCTGGCGGAGCAGGCCGAGCTGCGGGCCAAGGTGGCGGAGTCTCGACCGCTCGGGCAGCGCTTGCGCGAGATGGGGGCTCAGTTCACCAGGCAGCAGAAGCTGCGGGACGACCAGCAGACTAAGCTTGAAGGACTGCAGGCGCAGATACGTGACTTGCAGGAGAAGGAGCGGATCACTCGTGACAAGCTGGCGGCCATCGACGCTAGCATGGAGGAGCTGGACCAGGAGCGCAAGAAGCTTCAAGGGCAGGTTCCTACGCCAGGTGACAAGGCATCGCTTGACGAGCCGATCAAGGGGGTCGGCGCCACGATCGAAGGCCTTGGTATCTTGCTCCAGAGCCTGGGCGCCGATCACCAGCTGTCGGGCAGCCTCACGGCGAGTTTTCAGGAGTTGCAGAGGTTGCAGGTGGAGGAGGCTGCGAAGCTGGCAGCCCAGAAGGCGCAGACCGCTGCTGAGGCCGAGGCTAGTGCCAATGTGGAGCAGGCCGAGCAGCAGGACACTGCAGCAGCCCCTCGCACACCACAGCCAGCAGTCTTCTCTGATGACCCCGAGTTCATGGAGGAGGTCGTCGCTGCTGGTGGCGAAAAGCACAGGCTGGAGGAGATCTTCATGCGATGGGGCGCCAAGGTCAAGAAGCCCAGGCTCACCCCTGTCTAGCCTGGTTCCACGGTGCTGTCTTGTGTGGTTGGTTCCTTTTTGTTGCACCATGGCGTCGCTATCAAGTATTACTACCGTGAACGTGTCCTCGGGCGGCCCGCTCGTCGACTTCCTGCCCACGTGCTCAAGTTTGTGCATCGCTGTGCAGGAACATCATGCTAAGGCTGAGGGCGAGGCCTTGGCGAAGTTACAGAATAAGGTACGAGCTGCTGGGTACCATGGAATATGGGAGCCTGCCTTGCCAGGGCAGGGAGCTGGCAGCAGAGGCGGGGTCGCGGTGTTGGCCCCGTTGCGGGTGGTCATCACCAAACCCCCAGGCCTTGACAGTCACGTGCTTCATGATGGCAGGATGATGGCGGCCCACGTTCACGCCGGGGTGAAGGGCGGCTTCGTCATGTTGTCGTGCTACTTCGTCGTCGACGTGAAGCTGTCGCCTGAGAATCTGGCCATGCTGTACAAGCTGTACCAGTACGTCAGGTCGCTGGAGGCGATGGGCGTCCCGTGGATTGTCGGAGGTGATTTCAACATGGAGGTGGGCGAGCTAGGCCCGTTGTCCTGGCTCCAGTCGGCCAATGGGGTGGTGATGGCGCCGAGGGAGCCAACGTGTCTTCAGAGCCTTCCTGGCCGCACCATTGACATGTTCATGGTCTCCTGCCGTTTGCTACCTCGCGTTCGGCAACCGGTGGTGGTTGACGCGGAGACGTGGCCGCATCTGCCCGTGACCATGGAGCTCTCCGCCACGGCCTTCGACGCGAAGGTCAGGAGGCTAGTCGAGCCTCGCGGCATTCGTAGCCCGCCTGCGTCGGGGTGTGCGAGGTTTCCCCCCGACTGGGACCCGATCATGGTGGTCATCCAGAGCGCGACCGACAGCGAGGGCATCACCAGGGCCTGGGACGTCGTGCTCAGCGGCATCGAGTTTGAGCTGCAGGGCCGCTACGACCTTGTGAATGAGGCGGCGGAGTACTCCACGGTGCCAGGCCCCCCGACCTTCGAGCTGGTGAGCTTCCACCCTGTGGTGAAAGGAGCCTGGAGCAGGAGGTCGGCTGCCACCCAGGCCTGGGCGCAGGCTGCGCGCTGGGCTCGTCACCTCAGGCGAGTTCGAGTGGCATTGCAGAGTTTCGTGCTTCAGCTTGGTCCGCAGCATGACTTCGAGCTCGGCAGCGTCGGCGTGGTGCATGACGATGGAGTGCCTGGCCTGGTCGATGGTGCACCCCCTGCCGCGGAGGTCGTCGGAGTGGCTGGTCTCTCCTCCGATGGTGGTTGGCCTCGGTCGAGAGCGCAGCGACACCAGCCCCTGCGTCGTGCAGGCGAGGACCCATCGTGGGACGCCGTACACTCCAAGGCGGCGCGCCACCTGCTGGAGTGCGAGAATTTCTTCCAGAGGATTTGGCGGAGGAAGGGAGTCTGGCCGCACCTGGACGCCGAGGCCGTCGGTTTCTTCTCGCGTGGCATGCTGGTCTTAGCGCAGGCAGACTTCGAGCAGCAGGTCGACCGCATCCTGAATATCTCCTCTGATGCAGAGGCCAAGCATGAGAAGGCCGCGTCGCAGAGCTGGAGACAGTGGGCGCAGGCGGCTTTTGTGGCTGGCGCTAGGGGAGCTCACCGCTTCCTGAAGCCCAAGGCTCTCCAGGAGATCGTGGACGGAGGCAATGGGCTGCAGCATGGGTACGAACTGGCCGACCGTAAGCTGGAATTTTGGGAAAGCTTCTGGGTGCGGCATGGTGGTGAGGCGGTTCGCCGACCTGCTGATGCTGACGCTTGGGAGCAGCTACCAAGGCTTGAGGCGGCTGACGTGCTCAAGGCCATACGTTGTTTTTCTTGGCAGACAGGTGTCGGGCAGGTCAACATCGCGCCCAGGGCCATGGAGCACCTCTCCCGCGGGGCGCTGACGGCCATGGCGCGCCTCTTCGAGCAGTGTGAGTACCTGCTATTGTGGCCAGACGGCAGATTCATTTCGAAACTTGTGCGGCTTCCCAAGCCAGGGGGTGGGGAGCGTCTGATTGTGCTGATGAACACGCTGGTCAGGATCTGGGGACGGGCGAGGCGGCCTGTCTCGGCAGCGTGGGAGAAGGCCCATGCGCTCCCAGAGGTTTGGGGCCACGCTGGAGGCAAGTCGTCGAGTGATGCCGCCTTTGATTTGGCTCTTACCAAGGAGATGGCGACCCTGTGCGATGATGACGCCATCATTGTGTTGCTGGACATGCTCAAATGCTACGAATTGGTCAGGCATGATGCCATATTGTTGGAGTGCAGGGCCAATGGATATCCCATGAGAATGGCGTTTATGCTTGTGCAGATGTACCAACAACTGCGTTCTGTGTACTCGTACTCGTCTTACTCGGTGGCGCGCAGGGCATGTCAGGGCATCCTGGCAGGCTGCACCCACGCCACGACGCTACTGATGGTGTTGCTGACTCGCAGTATTCGCCAGACGATGACAGTCGCTCCTCAGGTCCAGCCCAAGGACTTGGTGGATGATGTCGCGCTGTGTTGGGTTGGCAATGACCCGCGTGGAGTGCGGGAGATGGCCATTGCTACTCGTGCGTTCTGCAGGGCTGTTAGGCCCCTCGGACTGGTGCTGCAAATGGATAAGTCTGGTCACCTCACGACGTCCAGGCGTACCAGCTACCACTTCCAGAAGTACGCCAGGCTGCTGAAGATCACTGGCAAGAGGCACATGCGGTACCTTGGGCACGATTTAGCTGGGCCATCTGCCACCAGAGCCGTGCAGAAGGATCGCCTGAAGTCTATGCACGGCAAGAAGGCCAGCGCCCGTGCCTTGCAGAAGGGAGCAGGGCGACAGCGAGCGGCTCGGCTTTGGGCCACGGGTGTGTTGCCATCCGTGGGGCACGGAGCCACGGTCAGCGGCATCAGCGACAGGGAGCTGCAGCAGATGAGGAGCATGGCTGGCGTCTTCTGCGGCTACAGGGGGTCGGGCTCCCTGACGCTGTACCTGGCCGCGCAGAAGTGGAACTTCGACCCCATTTTCCACGCTACCTGCAGCATCGCGGGGCAGTACGCGGCGTGGGTGTGGGATGGGCGTGTGACGCTCTCCCGCCTGCAGCGTGCCTGGATGTGCTTGCGTGACTCCTGGGATGTACGCGACACTCACGTCACTTGGGCCAGTGCACAGGGCCCGCTGTCGGCGATGTGGTTGTCGCTCAGGAGAGTCAACTGGAACATGGCCAGCTCCACTATCTTGGTTGATGATGAGGGCCTGCACATCAGTCTGTTGCAGTATTGTCCCAGTGAGGTGCTGTTCTTCCTGCATCGCAGCCTGGACCGTTGGCAGAGCCACCGCATCCTCGACCAGCTTCCTGAGGCGCCCCCAGCCGATGGTGCAGGCAGGCGGCAGCACGTGTGGCTTCGTGCGCTTCGGCTGGGCCACGCCTCTTTGGCGCCTGGGCACAGAGGGGCGCTGGCCAAGCTGCAGTCCAACGGCTTCTGGTCGCCGCAGCGCCGCAAGCAGGCTGGCTACAGCGACGATGGCTCGTGCGAGTTCTGCGGGGAGGCCTACTGCGACCTCGAGCACGAGATCTTTGGCTGCAAGGTCTTGCATCAGCAGCAAGAGGACGAGGAGACGGAGCCGTACCCTGAGGACGTCGCCAGGAGGAGGAAGGACATCCTGGAGGCAGCCCCGTGGCAGGACGGGGGCCAGGTGCAGGACTTCTCGGCCCTGGACGTGCTCTACGCGCTGCCCATGAGGCCTGCCTTCAGGCCGCTGCCTGCACGCGCTCAGGCTGAGCGTGAGTGGGGGGCGATCGGCCTGCCGTGGCCGTCGAAGCTGTACGGGGACGGTTCGTGTCTGGAAAGTGACTTCCCTGAGGAGCGGCGCTGCGGATGGGCCGTTGTGGCCTTGACCCGAGACCTGTGGCCGTACAAAGCTCTGTTCGGGAGCCTGGGGGGCCCCATCCAGTCGGTGCCTAGGGCCGAGCGGGTGGCTGGTCCCAAGGCCCTGCAAAGGGCCCAGAGGCCAGCCACGTACGTGACCGATCATTTGCAGCTGCAGGTCGAGGGAACGGCTTGGGAGGGTCGTCATGCTTCTGCCAGAGCGCCTCACGCGTCAATCTGGCGGAGCATCCACGAATTGTACAGGGGCGACCCTGTCAGGCCCGTTTTTGTTTGGACGAAGGCCCATCGCACTGTTATCGAGGGGTTCGATGCGTGCCTGGCATCCCAGGAGCCCCTGGAGCATTTTTTCGGCAACATGTGGGCGGATGTTTTCGCCAGAGTGGCCGCGGCCGACTTCCTTGGATCCACCTCCGTGGTCAAGGCTCACAAATTTTCTCTGCTTCGGGCCCAGGACACGATGCGATGTCTGGCCTGGGCGGCCGAGCGTGTGGCCCGCCTCTCCTCCCCGATCCTCCGTGCGCCTCCGAGGGCCGCGACTCGGCCCCGTCGTCCGCGGCGACCGACCGATCACGATTTCGTGGCCTTCGCTGGGGGAGCGATTCGCTGTCGTGCCTGCTGGAGGCAAGCCTCGACGGCTTCTTCGTTGAAGTCTCTGGCCTCCCGAGCGTGTGACCCCCAGGAGGTCGGGCCAGGACACCAGGTCCAGGCCTTAGATCGTGTCCTGATTTGTGTGAAGTGTGGGGCGCACGCTGTGCGCCCCAACCGGCTGTCGTTCGGCCTGTCTCGAGCGTGTAAGAGGGCTGGGACGGGGTCGGCTGGAGCTGGGAGTGGGGGGGACGGAGCCATCGCGTGGATGCTCGAGCAGGCTCGCAGGGGCCTGCATCCCAAGACGGGCGTGCCCCTCGAGCCGCTTGTCTTCTCGGAGCTCGAGGAGCCTGCGATGCCGCCGCAGGAGCCCGAGCCCGAGGCACAAGGATGAGGTTTGCTCCCTTGGTTCTCCCTTTCTGTCCCGAGGCGTGTTCGTGATTCACTTGCACGCTCTCTGCATTGTCTCCATTGTCTCCTCCTCCTCCTCCTCCTCCTCTCACTCCTCCTCCTCCTCCTCCTCCTCCTCCTCCTCCTCCTCCTCCTTCTCCTCCTCCTCCTCCTCCTCCTGACCGCACCACACCCCGCCAAAGCAGGGATTGCCCACGCCCTGCACGCCCACTCGGTCAGAACAGCAACTGGAACAGCGCCGTGCAGCGCGCGGTGTCGCCAGAAGCCCTCACGTGTGTCAAAGGGAAGGATGCGGTGCGCACGCGTTGATCTGGCAAGTCTGTGTCGTCAGAACCCGTGTCACATGATACCATTTTCGTCGCGCGGCCCCGCGCGCCCATGGCAAACCCAGTTGCTAGAAAAAGTTTTGGCATTCAGACATGGCCCACAAAAAGCGTATCAGCCCTTTGCTTTCTCCACTCCTTGAAACCAAAGGTCTGTACGTGCGCACTGGCTGGAATCATTAAAGTTGCCGCTCTGACAAGAAAGACGGACGCGGGGTCCGACTTCGCGTGGTGGCGCCTGCAAAGACACGAGCTAAACACACGGCGAACACACCGACAGCCAGCGCATCGAGCCTGGGCCTCGCCACAACGGACAAAGCAAGCAGGCTCAGATCGCCGACATGCGGGAGAACCGGTGCCAGTGCACGTCGATAGTCAGTTGCTGTCTTCCAGACTTGGAGCTGCCGCTCTGCCAGGAGAGACCACGCGGGCCTCGAGTTACCAGCCGGGAACATATCCCTATCCCTCTGTTGGGCATCGCCTCATCACGATGGTGATCTTAGGGGATTTCCTCAGCTTCTGAGGGCGTACCCCTACGATTGTCATCTCCTTTTGGCGTGTCAATCTCAAGGATAGGGATAAGTTCGAGGCTGGTGATCAAGGGGCGCGCACGCCGAGAGCCCTCGACGACGCACGCACGCCCGCCGACCTCGGTCTGAGCTTGCGAGATGCTGGCCGCACGCGCGCGCGCCTCCGCGGGCGGCCGCGCACACGCGGAGGCCACGAGAAAACACGGCTGGCGCTCCAGAAGCAGAAGCGCACGCGCGAGCCAACTGGTTGCGTCGGCGGCGAAGCAGGTTACCAGCCTCGAACGTAGCCCTATCCCTAAGATCGACACGCCAGAAGGCGAGGACAATCTGAGGGAGGCGCCCCGAAAAACGAAGGGAATCCCTAAGATTGGCATCGTGATGAGGAGGTGCCCAGCTTAGGGATGGGGATATGTTCCAGGCTGGTAAACGCAGGGGTCGTCTGCGCCAGCGCAAAGGCCCAAGCGGGGGTGCCGCCGGAGCGAGCTGTGCCACAGTTCGCAGGAACGGGGGGAAGGGGCGGAGGGCGCGCGGCCAGAAGAGGAGCACGCGCGAGCGAACACACGGACGGCAGGTTCGCGTCGTGACGACACCGGCATTGGTTTCTGACACCGCGTGGATCGTTCAGCCTTGAACGATCGGCGGCTTTCCGATCGCCCGATCGTTCCACGTAGGCCGATTCTGGGCCGTTGGCGGCTTTCAACCTGGAACGCCCGCGGCGGGGTCGCCGCCGGTCGACAGGACGCAAACCTACCGTAATGAGCCCAGCGCAACCCCAAGTAGGCGAAAGCTTCCCATTGCATGGGCGCAGTGCTTTGCATTGCTTTGCACTGCTTGGTATTGCTTGGCATTGCGTGGCATTGCTCAGCAATGCTTGGCATTGCTTGGCATTGCTTGGCATGAAGCACCCGGGGAACCCGGGGAACCTCCGAGCAACGGGCAAAATAACCCCCGGGACACCAACCATTAGCCAAGTATCTCGAACCAACTCGAAAGAAAAACTGCGGAACATATGGATGCATGTACATGGTTGGAAGATACACCCGCGTACTTGAGGAGCAGCGCGATTTCATTCGGAAGCAAAAATACGAAACTCTCCGAGACAAATTGACAGCCTGCCCTGCCGCAACACGTCCCCTGGTGTCCTCACCCGTCCCCAGCCCCTTCCCTCACATTCCTACCCCCCTCGCCACCCCCAATCCCCCTCCTCGCCCCCCAATCCCCCTCCTGCACTCCTGTCCCCCCGCTCCCAAAAGTCACCAGATCACCGCGAAGGCCACGAGATAGTCCCACTGACACGTTCACAACGTGGTGTAGCTTTCAGCAGAGCGGCGTACCCGTGAGGATCAGAACACCTTCGAAGACAAATTGTCTTGCGACGTCATCTCTCGGGAACAAAACGTACACATCAGTTTGAAATCGCGTAGCTGAAAGGGCCAACACAGTGAGGAGAGCGAACCTAATGGATTTGTCACCAGCCCTCTCTACTGCCAGGGTGCAGGGAGCCTCGAGAGAGACAGCGGGCAAACGGGCGATGGAGAAATTATGCGTTAGTCGTATGAGGGTTTTGACGCGAGCTCAATCAACGCATGGGCGAGGCATCTCCGAAGATGTCGGGATGGAGACGTGTGGCCTGGAAGGTTTAATGGTATCGGAGGAGGGGGGCACACGTGCGCTGCAAGTCCAGAGAAGCGCGTCCTTGCCCCCTACCAGGTTAGCAAAAAAACAGACAGCGAGTAGGCACACAACACAACTGAGAAGGGCTGGCTCGACAGAGAGATGGCACATATCAGCAGACACAGAAAAATGCGAAGAGGACCGAGCTCAAGAAGAACGTGAGGACACTTATGATGGGGATGAGCATCTCTCGATTGCCTGACATCCCCTTCTCGATAATGTGGGTGACGATCGCGAAACCTGAAGGGCCTTCATTTGTTTGGTGCCGTCACAACCCGTCACATGGCAATAGAACACAGCATACCTCGAACCCGAGTGTACTGCCCATTGGGACGCAGAACCCATTCAAATCCGACTCCCTACATACATCGGCACGCACAAGCCAGAAGTCCTCGAGCAGAAAATCAGCACCTCACGCACTCAGGTTTCTGAGCGAAGTCCACAGGACCCAAGTCCTGCTGCACGGAGCAAATCCAAATACACATTGGAATCCGCCGACCCCTTGTGGGTCTCCCGGCGTGTCACAGTCTTCCCCCCCAGTTTCCCCCGGGACCCCAAACCAGCAATTTGACCCCGCCCCTTCGCACGGCGCGAACGCATCATGGGCGGATAGAGGGCCCCCAAGACGGGTCAAGAGAACTCCAACAGATTCCCAAGACGGTTCAAGAGAGCTCTGCATGGCCGAGCGAACGGTCAAAGACGCCGAAGATGGCTTCCAGACGGCCCAAGAGGCCTCCAAGACGCCTCAAGAAGCCCCCAAGACCATCAAATTCCCTTGGGAAAGCGTGCATGTTTAGTATTTGCGCCGTTCGGCCTTCACGGCGTTGAAGACGACCGAAGACCGCCCCAGGACGACCCAAGAGCGTCCCGCCCCAAGACGGCCCCAGAAAGCCCCAAGACTGCCGAACAAAAAAACCCAAGACGGCCCCAGAGCCCCAAGACGGCCCCAAGAGGGGCTCGTGAGCGGAAGCCCCAACCGACCATTCGAGCCGCCCGCCCTACGTAAGATGCACCCAGGACGCCCCGAGAGGCCCTCAAGAAGCCCCAAGAAACCCTCAAGAGGTCCCTAAGACGCGCCAACGAGGCCCCAAAACGACCCCAAGAGGCTCCAAAACTGCTTCCACGAGGCTCCCCCGTGGCTCTGGAGGACCCCCCAAGTGCTACCTCCCCAGCAAGCTTCCCAAGGCAATCCGAAGAGACCCCAAGAAACATCCATGAGACTCGGACCCACAATCCAGACACGGTGGCGGGATGGGACGAAAGTGATTCGATAGTTCTGCACGAACACGTTTCCTCTTCCTGCTCCTCCATCGCCCCCGTCCTCCCCCTCCCCCTCCCCCTCCCCCTCCTCCTCCTCCTCCTCCTCCTCCTCCTCCTCCTCCTCCTCATCCATCTCCTCCTACCCTTCCCCCTCCTCCTCCTCCTCCTCCTCCTCCTCCTCCTCCTCCTCCTCCTCCTCCTCCTCCTCCTCCTCCTCCTCCTCCTCCCTCCTCCTTTCCATCCTTCACCTTCTCATCATCCTCGTCATCCCTCCTGCGCTGTCCCCATCCTGGCCCCCTTTTTTTTGTTCCGCGGCACGGCGGCACGTGCAGCGCCGCTTGCGGGCTCCGATCCCCCGACGGGCCAGCCGAACGGGCACCATCCGTGGCATGACTTGCACTTCTGACTACCTACAAGACCACCCCAACCCAACCCGAAGACCCGAATTTGACCCGAATTTCGGGTTGGGGGGGGCACGGGTTCCATGTGTTTTTTAATGTTCCCCGACCCCCCCCCCCACTGGAAATCGAGGATACATTTGGACCTTCGGGTTGGGTCGGGATGGTTTGGTGGCTGGTGAACTTCTGGGTGCCGTCTTTTGGGGCGCGCGCGCGATTCTGCCGCCAATCGCGGAGCAC